CTTCCTGATACTTTACCTCCTTCCCCAGTTCCCTTATCTCATTCCCCAAACTCCTCTCCTTCTACTTCTACAACAGCCCTCTCTACTTGTATTACCTGTTGATTATTTCATAACAACTCTTTTACCAGTTTTTCCTTATCATACTATCCTATGACACTATAACCTTTGACATTTAACACTATACTAGTTGTTAACTCGTTTACCCTTTTCACCACAATACTTTACCATAGTGTTATATGACCTCAGAGGTCTAATCCATTATTTGTTTCAGCCATTAATCAATAAACATCTCTGACTGCCAAAATGAGGATGGCCATTTCTGTGGCATGATTTGTTTTATTTGAATAGTTGTTTGAAAGAGTATAAATATCATGAATGTTAAATCAGTGTTGGTACGCTGTTATTAAAAATTGAAATAAATGTCTGAAGGGAGTATCGAAACACACCTTCCTTCAGACCATAGCTGTCTTCTATCATCTACAAGTTGAGGATAGATGGTGCAGTGTTGTTTAGGATATATTGTAGCTATAGGAAATAATTAATGAAAAAATAACAATACTTTTTTTTTTAATAAAAGAAGCTTGTTGAAATTATATATAGATAAGAAGAAAACACTGTATGCTTAGAATTATTTAAGTGAGTTATTAAACAAAACTATGGTAGTTAGAAGTACATAACTAAAGGAAAAATGACTTAAGTCACAGATGATAAAGTTAGGCAATGGCAATCATTGATAAGTTGTAAAACCTTTAATTAGTAATCATTATGTAGATTCTTATGGGCAGTTTACTAGTACATGTGAGAATTTCATTATTCTTATTATTTTAGATCATCCATGGACATGTGTGGACCCTGCATATGCATTCAAGATATGCAGTATCCTCTTTTGATATCTAATGCTTTTAAAACATATGACATGTAGTTGAAATAATTCAAATTAATTAAGAAGTGAACTATATATTGTTACTGTAATCCCAGACAAAGCTTTCAATTTTTGATATACATTTAAATATTTGTTTAATGAATTTTAATATTTTATTAACATTTTACAAATAATGATATACATATATCACTATAAGAATGCAATATATTGTTTATATGTTTAAAGTCAGCATATTTTAGGGTGACTTTTTAATCTCTTATAATATTTTTTTCATGATATTGCAGTGGTTTTCAACTTCTTCTTTTTTGACATCTTCATAGCTAGAGAACATTTTCTTATGAATGAAATAGTGATTATATAACTATAAGATTTGCAATATTTCAGAGAGACTTGTCCATTGGTGCCTTAACCTGACAGACTAGGTTTTATATCAGCATTAAAGTATAACATTATATCCTTTAGGAATTATTGTGTTGAATATACAAAATAGTCTCTTTACACTATATATAAGTGAGGTATTGTATTCTTTGTAGTAATATGTGGTGGTGAAATGAAAGTGAGCTGGAAGGAAATAGGGTAAACTACCAGTGCACCTTTTTATTTGACTGTCAGGTGTTACTCCTTGCCAAACTAAATATTTTCTCAGCTTATGTAGACTTTATATGCATCTGCTATCATGTTTTTTTTGTTTTGAGGCAGTGCATGCTGTGAATATGACAATGCTTTGCTCCCTCCTCCTCTCCTCCCTTCCCCCCTTTCCTATTGGTTGGTTCTAGATTTGTTATATATACAAGTTATATTAATTTTGCATGAAAGCAATTATTAAATAACTTAAGATTTAGCTAAAGTTTGAAAATGTGAGTCTGTCTTAAGATTTAAAAGTGCATCATAAACATGTGAAAATGACTAGGCAATGTATGAATAGAGATCTCCTTATCAGCACTATTGAGATAATAGAGAGGGAGTAGTCTGAGTTGTCATTTGTGATGGAGAGCATTTTGCCAGTGAGGAGACCAGATGCACAACGATATTTATAATTGTGTTATACATTGGGAGGAAATTTTCTTAGAATGTGGTATGTCAGTATTATGCTTTATGTTTTCCCATATTGATTTGTTTTTTGTTTTAAGTATGATAGGATATTAAGGAAAACAACTTGCACAAAGTTTTTCACTGGATACCAGGGTAGATGTTCTGGATTTTTAAAGATATTGTAACCATTTACTATGGTTTTGTTTTATTGATTTTGTTTACATGCAGATGGCTCCCATAATGGTTCAGCCTAGTCACCAGAGTTAATTGTTAGACCTACCTAACCACACATGTTTATCCCATTCCTTGAATTTTCAAGGGGAGAACTTTATGATATTATTGTTAATAATGCTTTAAAAATATTGGTGATGATACTAACAGTAGCATTACGGATGACAATAACATTAACAGAAATAATCTTTTGTTCTTGTGAATTTAAGGTATTGGGTAAACAGGTGAGATCATGTAGGGTTAACAATTGATACCTTTAAGAAAATGTTGTGAGGCTATCTGTGTAAATGAAATTAGAATAAAACTACAATGGATAGTGCTTGTATCCAGTACCAGTGAGTTTAAAGTCAGTGT